GATTATTCCCAAAAAATTATACGTGTTTTGGAAATGTTGAGTGGAATTAGTCTAGAATCGGTTAATTTTATAGAAGAAAACCTTTCAAACAGCCTTAGTCCGTAAAGTTCCCACCTATCGGGCTGCGATTGGCTCGTGTATATAATCATTCCTACAACGTAATTTTCGGTTAGCGTGGAACGTATCTAAGCGTTATAGGGGGGGTCTACTGTATTTACGTGAATCAGATTACAGAAACACACGCTTCGCCATTTTTGAAACACACGCTTCGGGTCTAATTTAAAATTTGAGATTTTATAATCCAGAGTGATTCGGAATAGATAGACTGACAGAAGGAAACTTTTCCTTATAATTTAAAAGTTGCTTATACAGGGATATTCCGATACTTACAGGGGCCATCTGTGGTCAGGACGAAAGCTGAGGTCCAAGGTGAGACAACCATACATTCCGGTCCAGCTGATCCCTGCCACTATCCCAAGCCCATGGCCAGATGGCCGAGCGGTTAAGGTGGCAGCCTTTGGGTACCCGGGATCGAATTCAGACGGGTCGAAAAAGTTCCAGGAATTTTTCAGTTGGTAGTCCGTCCAGATATATGGGCTTCGTCTCTAATCCGGCTGCCCCATTGTGAACTTGGCCGAACCTGTAATGGGTATGCTAAAAGCCTCTGAGTGCCCAGAGAACGGAGAGTTGAAAAAACCCCAAGCTTATCAGTGGCCGAATATATAAAACCATTGAACACCGGGTCGGTCGTGGGTTCGCGCCCCATCAATCCGGCTATTCGGAGTTTTCCAGGTTTTATTCACGTGTCTAACAACTAAATTGAGAGCCGTTTCCCATAGAAAGTCCTCCCAGAAGGCACGTCTTGGCAAATCGCTTTGGTGTTGCATACAAGTCCAAGAATAATTAAAATTTGTACGAGGAGGAATTCTCTTTATGATAATAAGTTCGAACTGTCTTTAATGCGATGTTGTCTTGCCTTACTGATGCGATTATCATCATAGAAGGTAGTTATAAAGATTTATGAGGCTATTCAAGCTGGTAAATATTAATCATAATCCGCAATAGATATCGAGTCACGAGAACGTAGAGTTCAAGGGGTCAAACTGTACTCACCACTTCATTTTTTATGTGTTTACATGCTTATATTTAGTATATGTATGTCCTCTGTAAGAATACCAGTTCTCCTGTTTATGCTTGCATGCGTTGTATTTCGTTATATGTATTGTGATTTTGTATGTTCTTGTGTTGTTTATATGCTTAATTGTATATTGTCTACAGCGTTTAATGA